AATATAATATACAAGTTTCACTTTTTAAATGGAATTACTGAAATCAATCTACTTTTTCATGATATTCTAATTTTATGACCAGCACCTGTACTGCAAACTCAAGATAATCAATTTACTATAATCTAATTAATTTAAATACTGCAAACAGAAAAAAACACCAAATGAACACGATCTAATTATTTAGGTCAATTTAAGTTCTGCACATTTAGTTATTGAGTAAATCTAATGTAATTCATCTCACTTAAAATAGATTACATTTTGTAAAGTAGCAAGTTTGTATATTTTTTTATATGTAAAGTCAATTCTCTATATTTCAGTGTAATTAAATTATGTCCATAGAGACCAAGGCTGGCCATGCAACCATCACTGATTACTAATCTGATCAAATTAGATTGATTCTTTTCCTTCTTTATCTTGGCATCCTGTAAGATTTGGAGAAATTCAGTGTTTTTATTTTACTTTTATTTTAGTGATTAAAAATGTTTTTGTTTTTTTTTTTTTTACTGTTATAACATGCTAACCAAAGCATAAAATTGTGTTTTAGCACCTTTTTTCTCAACTACTTACTACTGAACAGGCAGCACCAAACACCCGGACCGCCTGTACAGGCAGGCAGATATAGATCTAATTTAATCTAATCTCTAATCTAACTCGATTAAAAGCTTCTGATAAAGTGTTTGAGAAGAAATATGTTTTTAAAAGACAATTTACCAAACACACTCACCTTTTACATCCTGATTGGATCAAAAATACAATGAAGATTCACCTTCTTAGAAATTGGACACAATCTTATATCTAATTATAAGCACCTAAGCCTAAAAATACTCAGTAAAAGAAGAAAAAAAACAAGACTTAAGTGAAATAAACTATTTTATTACATGTCTGGATGTCAAACAGAGAACATTTGCATAATTTCTAGTGCTTCTTATTTTCTTCCCTGGCACATATTCACAATCTCACTTAGCAGAAATCCATTGACAACATAAACTGCACACAGAGACACCGATGTGATCCAACCAAAAAAAAAATAAAAACTATAACATATTTCTATAAATTCCTGTCTAGACCCGTCCCATGGCTGCGACTGGAAAAGCTCCATGGTTGCTACTTTAGTGCAAAACTAAAAGATCGTGACAGAAGCTCATTTCAACACTGCTGCTGGTCTGATACAATAAATTAAATGTTTTGTTTTATTAAACAAAAAACAAAACAGAGCCCTTTCTCATATTATCGTATCTCTGCAAGACCTTGATTTAAAAAAAAGAACCTCTTCTGATGATTTGTGTCGCAAACGCATCTCGGAAAATCAGACGAATGAAAACCTACTTCCATTAAAAAAAGTGATTTCAAGTCAAAAGTGTAATTCAGCTAATTTAGATTTTTACAGCTAATAAAAACCTAAAATAACCGAGTTATGCATATAGAAAAAATATCGATTTAAAAGCTCAGATAAACTGAGCTAAACCAACAATGAACCGACTTATAAAGACCTACTGATCATCTTTAGTGTACTGGTCTGTATCAATCAGTCCCGTTATTGAAAACTATTGAAGCATTTATTGGGTCAAGCTGCTGCTTTGTGTAATTAATCAATCACAAATCAGCAGTGAACACAAACCAAGTAGTGTCTTCATCCGCAGCTAAAAATAGGCCCATCCAGCAGATGCTTTGAGATCTTTAAAGAATAATCAGATGTTTTACTAAATATACCAACTTTAAATGGAGCAAATTGTTTGTATTAACCCTTAATAAATAAGCTGGATATTATAATGTAGTTATTATATTGATGATGTCACAGAGCATTTGGTTGATATTTGCTCTAGAGAAAAGGCACTATATAAAAAAAAAAGCCTTAGTGCTCTCACGCTCACTGACCTGAAGGTCAGGCGTGGCGTTCAGTCAGGGACCTGCATGACTAAACAGAAACAGGGTTTTCATTTCATGAATGACTGGAGCTTCTGTCAATCGTTTACTTCAGGCGCTGTTGTTCATTAGCTCTCAGCTGCTTATAGCGGGGCGCAGCCACACAGCAGGAATGTCGTGACCCTTCATCTCCACACGGTAGATCATTTTCTGTAGAAAACAACCCTGATGGTAAAATAGCATCTTCCTGCGCAGGAAAAAAACACAAGAAGCTACCATTCATCACAGAATATGCAAAAGAATAAATCGCTACACCATTAGCTGCTAATCAAAGAAAGGTCACACTCTTCCTTTCTTTTGCTCTTTTTTTTGGCATTTTTTTGGCATTTAGCAAAGTTTTTGGTGCTAAAATTAACATACAGACATTGTCAAATTTGATTAAAATAAAAAAAAAAAGGTTCCTCCTATCTACGCCGTTTATAAAGGGCGGCTATTATGAAGACTGATACAGCTCCAGCAAATAACACCAACATTCCCAGAGAGGACATGGAGGACTGGCGTTCAGGAGGGGAGTCCGCTGGTCCGTTTGTTAGACAAGGCGACTGTGGGAGAAAAAAACAGGGAAAATGTTAGAGCTGCACAAGAAGCAATATTCACAAAGAAATGTTTTTAAAAAAGCACTCAGAGGGCGCAGTAATATTTAACCCAAATGGTGACTCCACCTATAGCTAAAACTGACACATCGTCTGGATCATTACTAAATGAATTGTTCCTTTATATGAAGGACACATCTAGTAAAAAATCCCCATAAAAAGTTTCTAATTGATCCTCGGTTCCCATTTCCTGTGTTTTTGTCTTCAGTAACATAGTCTGATGCTGAGGCTGTCAATACTCACTGCTGCCACCCTCTGGTTTACTGGGGAACTGCTTGTTAATCCCTATCTCACAATGATAAAAAAATCTATTTAAAAAAAATCCTGTATCCAGATTAGGACTGAAACAATTAATTGGATTAATTGTGATTAATCGATTATTGAAATAATTGTCTACTAATTTAGTAATCAATTAATTGTTAACTGGAGTTTAGTCTCTAAAACAGACTTTATATGACAGAACAACCCACCTTGAGCAGCAATTATACCAAAATTGTAAAACAAAAGTAAAAGTTTTGCATTTAAGATAAAACAAAAAAAAAAAAAGGTCCAGACCTCCCCAAGTGGAAAGGTTTTACTTTCTCCTGGTTTAAATAAAGAAAAAAATAAGTCTTTAAGGAACCTTTTCCTATCAGATTATTAATCGATTAATAAAAATAAAAAAAATACTCCACAGATTAATCAATTTGCAAAAGAATGGCTAGTTGGAGCCCTAATCAGGATTATGAAACGGGTCGTCGCCAAAATTTAATGGATTGCTGGTAAAGTTTCATCAACATCTGTCTCACAATTATTTTTTATGTGTACAAAATATAAAAAGTTACATAAATTACATCTAACAACTTTTAAATCTACCTGAAAAAAAGCAGGAATAAATTAGATACCAGGCAGTTTTGAAATAAAGTATGAGAGATACATTAATATATTAATCCTTAGATGCTACAGAACATTAATTAAATAACAGGCTTTGCATGGTCATCCATTCCATAATTCTGTTTGTTCAAGACCGGCATGTTTAACCCGCTTGTTCCACCTATTAGTGAATATATTTTTTTAAGGCAGAGGGAGAAGGTGATCCTTTCCATAAGCGAAATGTAATTAACGATGCTTGTCCACTCTTGTATTGTGGGCGGGTCGGGAACCAACCAACATCTTGTGAGTGCTTTTTTACCAGCAGTTATCAGAATATCAAATAAATATTCATCAGTTTTCCTGAACTGTAAATCAGAACTTCCTAAAAATGTTAAAAACTGCAGAGGGAGATTAGTTTTAAACAGACCATTTAGTACCTTATAAAGCTCTGATGTAAAGGATCTAACCACTGAGCATTCCCAAAAGATATGCCAACGATCGGCCTCCCGGTGTCCACATTGCCTCCAACACACAGCTTCACCTCCAGTAAAATGTGTCTTTTGTTTTAGTGATAAAGAAACGGATCATTCAGATTCTCACCATGAATGAGAGCTGGTTAATTTCCACTGGGATTGAGAAATGTCAATCCAATCCTCCTTAGTTATTATCAGATTACCTTCCTTCTATACTATAGATAATAGGTCTTTATAAGTTCTGAAGATGACACCTTGTTAGATTTTCCTTGATAAGCATCAGTAAAGACTTTTAATATGAGGTCATATGTTCAAATCGCCTACGCACCAGGAGGAACCTAAAAAATGCTTCTAAATTTTTATATAAACCATCATCATCATCATCATCATCATCATCATCATCATCATCATCATCATCATCACAGTCTTGCTTCGATGCAGAGAAACTGCAGGATTTTATTTCAAAGTTAGACTGTAAGGATTTCACAGAAGGCCTTGTTCTTCGTGCAGAAAGCTGCAGATTTTCCTCCATCTGGAGACGTTTTCTCTCTTGATTGAGCATTTTTGGATGTGTTAGGGAATTATCTGCTATAATCCAACTTTAAATTAATTTGGGGACTTAGAAGTTTACACATTTTTGTAACATTTCAGTAGAAAAAAGATTTGAACTTTCAATCACTTGGACAAAAATGGGTCAGTTTTTAACCACAGCTAAGAAAAAAAATTGCAATTTAACTGGCAATTTGTTGTTTTTTAGATTCATGTATTTTCAAGCTTTTGCATAAATTTTATTTATGGGGGAAACTATTTTATTCTCTTTAAAAAAACATTTTTTTTTGCTGCATTATCTCCACTGAACAAACCAAATGTGCAGCCTTGTCTGTAACTGCAGGGTGTTTGCTGCTCAGCCTCCATTTCTTAATGTCTTCAATCAACCTATTAGCTTTATTTGCAGCTGTCTGGATTGAAGTCATCTTGAGAGCATCTTTCCTGCTCATTTGAATGTGAACGTCATGCGGGTCACTATAAAATTAATCAATCTCATTTCCTAGACATCAGTTTTGCAAAAATGTAAAGGAATCGATTCAAACTCGATTTTTTCCCCCAGCCCTAGTCCTTAGGAGGTGTAGGATTAGTTTCACACATCAATACATCAGTTTGTTTCTGAAAGATACAAGAAATATTCTAATATTTGAAATTTTATTTGTATTTTTGAATACTTAAGTACTTTTAAATACTTAAGTATTTTCAAAAGTGAGTACTTCAATGCTATAACTTGAGTAGATGTAACGTTTACTTGGATTTGAGTTTGAAGATTATGAGTATCAATAATTTTACTGAAGTAGTAATTTTGAGTATTTCATCCCAAACTGGTGAAAGGATATAATGAAATGAAATGAACAAAGAACATATGAACAAAACCCAGATCTCTAATGATTGCTACCTTTTTTAGAACGCGGAGCTCGACGTTCTCGCCCGCCGTCCGGAACATCTCCACCACTTCTCTGTGAGTCCGGTTCTCCAGTGAGAGTCCATTTATCTACAGCAGAACAAACACAGCCAACTCTGATCAAACATCTCTGCAGCCGGGCAGCGGTTAATCATTCCTTTCACTTTTTAAAACTGGTCGTAACCTTTGAATGTCTCACAGTCTGTCATGTTAAAGCTTCTGTATTTAAATTGGACTTTATGTGAAACACCAATACAATAGAGTGAAGCAAAATCATGCATGTTTTTAAAAAATAAGAGTAAACACTTTGCTACTCCAGATAAAAGGCAGTGCAAACATTTGGCTACAAAACTCACCTCACCAGTTTTAGTCAACCTGAGTGTAATTTAATCTCTATTTATTAAAAGCTGTCCTGTGAACGCCTCATAGGTAGATGAACAGCCAGCATTATAAAGAACCAAAGATCGACAGAAGAAAGGGCAGAGAGAAGGTATTTGAGAATTTTAAACTAGTATTATATTATAAACTTTTGAACAGCTTTTCCTTCACATGGAAATCCAGCTTTCAAAGATGGAAACGGTCAAAGAAAACCGACAAAGACATGAATATCCATCTAAACAGGTGGATAAAAGAGCCAAAAGGTCCATGGTAGGAGCTGCAGATATTCGTCCAGAAATCACATCCACCCTCATAAAAACATGGTGGTGGCAGCATCATGGTGAGGGGACACTCTTCTTAAAGGGCTTATGCATTGCATAATCATCTTTTAGTGCTTTTAACTGTGTTTTCATGATATTCCTTCATCAAAATCATGCATAAAGTGACATTTTTGCTTTTCTGAGTTGACCTCATGGGTTCTGCAATCTGATCAATCAGCAGCCCAGGACTTACATATGAAAACCAGCAGTTGGAGAATGTGTTCATATTGGAAACAAACTGAATTAATCAGATTACTGAGGGTTGATGTGAGACAGAACCTGATGACTGCGGTTAGAGCAGTGCGCTTCTGCTCTGAGAAGGTTGTAAGAACCTGGTTTGATCCCCACAGCCTCCACTCTGGATTCCTGAACAAAAGCCTTAACCTCCGATTGCTCCCTGGGTGCCGCACAATGTCAGCCCACTGCTCCCCAAGAGGATGGGTCAAAATGCAGAGAACAAATTTCCCCATTGTGGGACGATAAAGGGATTTCCTTTTTTCTAGCAGCTGACCTGCACAGGGCAACAACCTCTCCATATTAGCTCATGTCCAAGTCATAAAAGTGAATTCCTTTGGCTGTGAGGGTCTCACGCCTCCAGCAGTGGTGTGATATGGTGACATCATGAAATAGACAGAGCCCATACAGGGAAAGGCAGCTTCTCTTTGAAGGCTAAAATGTTTCCTTGGGTTTGGAAGAAAACAGCCGTAGTTCATAACAAAGTTAAACAGCGTAGATTTCAATCTAATAACCTGGAAATGGATGTTTACAGACTTTCTCCATCCATTCTGATCCCTCTGCACTCTTCAAAAAGAAAAGAAGTCTGGAAATTTAAACAAATTCCTGCCATGTTACAAAAAATGACATGGTCCTCCTCTTGAATCCCCAAAATACACTCATTTTTATGGCTGTAGTTTGACAGATTGGGAACAACTGATGAAAAATAAACAAACTTAATTTACAGCAAGAATCTTGTCTTCCTCTTTCAGCCGTCCATCAAGCGCTGCTGCTCCATCTTCCTTTATTTTACTCACAAAGATGCCATTATCATCCATCCTGCATGGCTGGTCCACACCCCCAAGAATATTAAACCCTAGACCTACAGAGCATAGAGTAAACATAGATATAAATCAGTCAGGCAGTAAAAATCAATGAGCAAAAGAACAGAGAGGAAGCCATCCCATTTAGATCAAAGTACAAAAACAGGTGCAGTTTTAAAGCTGGTCTGACATCAACAATACATTTAAACAATATAACTTTAAATATTACTGCAATGGCTTCATATGAGCATAAATAGAGGAATAATGCTACTTTTTCACTAATTAAAAACCCACTTTGATGATTTCGATATTCACTATTTATCTAAATGACTATTTCTTCACCCTGACGAGCAAATTATGAGGCTGACACAGGATGAAAACATAAAACAGAGCAGTTTATTCATCAGTTAGCCTTTAGCTGCTGGCTTTTTGCTGCTACGTAGTCAGCTAGCATCTATGCTAACTCTCTGCCCAGTATTCTCCTTACCTGCAGGTCCCCGCCGCAGTTTTATATCCACATATTTTGTATGAGGAATCAAAGAGCCGTTCATTTTTTCCAAGACTCCCAAACGATGAAAAGCAGAGAGGGAAACAAACTATTTCTGTGAAGCTGGACTCTTCTTCTTCTTGTTGTGTTTATTGGCGGTTGGCAACAAACTTAATAGTAGCATTACCGCCACTTACTGGTATGGAGTGTGGCTCTCGTTGGTCTAACGCTCTTTTTGTATATATATACCTATATATACTCATACATACACCTACCAACCCACACAAACAAACTTACATCCATATTTATATTCTACTCATCACTATCATCCACACATTCACTCTTCTGTCTACTCTATCAAATTCTACTGAATATCTTAGTTTTCTTTAAGAATCTAATAACTATTTGTATATGTTTGCTCTCCAAACTTTCCCTCAAAATATCTATTAACATA